ATCCGCATCACCTCCATGTTCGTCGTCTCCGGCTTCTTCAGGTTGACCTTCGTGATCACGATCGAATCTCGGGTCTTCCCCGTCATATTCCTCTTCAGGAGAATACCTGTCATCACCGTGTTCCTCTGGTTCCCCTTCGACGCCTGCAACAGCTGGATTGATATCGGATTCATCATCCCGATCTCTCTGGTTATCTTTCTTCTTTCTCCTCCGTCTCCGTGATTTCTTGGGCGGAAGTTCCTCTTGTTGTGTCTCCTGACCTGCTGTGGCCTCGTCTTCATGCCCCACACCTGACAGTATGCGATGAAGTATCGTAGCCAAGCCGTCTGGTCTTGGTAGACATCTCCCGTCATCATCATTCACCTTGATGTAGGGTATGTTGTCATGCACCGATAGCGGAATCTTGTTCGCGTTCTGGTCGATGAGGTATGGCAATTGATTTGCCGGCCATATGAATGAGTACCCTTGTTCCATGCACCGTTTCCCGATGGAAAAGACTGATGGTGTGTTCTCCAACACGTGTGCCTCGGACCTCATGGGTAGTTCGTCCACATTGATGTCCACCATCTCTGATGTACTAGTTACACCATTCGCTGTCATGAAGCTCACGGATTTGGGTCCTTCCTTGGTGGTAAGGCCCATGGCATTGACTTTCTCTCTTGAGATCAAATCGTGTCCACATCCCGTGTCCATGATGAAACGTATCGGTGGTCCATCATACCTCTCCACAGCCATGAACATCGTGTCTCCTGGTATCGTGTAGTTGACAGAATCCTTCCTTACTACCTCGCTGGTGTTGAAATCAGACAGGTCGACGTTCACCTCGATTCCTTCATCTTGAGCGATTTGTATCCATGCCTTGGCAATGTGTTCAGCATAGAATAGCTCCATCATCCTACCTTTGGCATGTGCTACTCGTGCAGCTATATTGCTCACTCTGAGGGCTCTCAACGACGAAATGAGCTCGGTATCCACCTTCTGCACCTCATTCTTCTTCTTCCTGAGGGGACGGGTGTTTAGCTCGTTACCAGGATCGCAGGTGAACGTGGTCACATTCGCCCGGTCATCGAATCTGACTTTAAAGCGAAGCGCCAGCTTACCTTGTTGTACGTTGGGAAGTGCGGGTTGTACGTCCTCGTCATCACTCTCGATGTCTCCGCAAAGCATGAAGGCTGGCGCAGCCGGTTTGGGCTTGGCTTTGCCTTTAGCCTCTTGTTTTGTAGCCGGAGCAGCGTGATGCTGACGTCGACATTTGTCCCCGAACTTGCACGATCCTTTCTGCCAATTCCAACAGACCTGATCCTTCATTGACTTAGGGCTACTGCTCCTGTCACCAGGACTCTTCGATCTGTCACCCTTGATGCTTTCTGGCTTCTTAGCAGAACTCTTGTGCTTCTCTTGGTGGCTAAACTTACATTTGTCTCCTCTAGAACATCCGTTTTTCCCATGGAAGTGGAAAGCGCATCCTATCTTGGACGTATCTGCTGGAGTCGCTGACCTGCCACGATCCCCTTTTGGGCTCTTCGTGGCTGATCTTCCACGATCCTGCTTCTTGTCCTTCTTGTTGTGGTCCTTCGGATTAGCCTGAGGAAGTACTGGAGCTGCGTCATGTTTCGGTGGATCGGCCTTGGTATTCTTGGGTTTCGCTTTAGGGTCCTTCTTCTCCGCCGCTGGTGTGGCTTTCACGATGTTCCCAAAAGCTTTTTCCCTTTCTTTCTTGTTTGTGGTCTCGATTGATTTCCGTATCCACTTCGTCATGATCTCTCGTAACTTCTGGTAGGTCTTATCCGGATCCTTATCCAACATGTTGTCGTACACAGACAAGTCTAACGCCATAACTTTGGAATCCTTAATCTTATCCCAAAGCAGGTTGCGAAGTGCTTTGTCAGGAAGCATGTCATCCGCATCCATACCTGATATGATCTCATCCCACTGTCCAAGGAATCTGGATAGTTGATTATCCCCAGGGAACTTTAGATCGAATAAGTGCTTGGATGCATACATCACATCAACGTTGTCGGCACTCCGGAAACTATCGACGATCAACGCTAACATTTCTCGTCCCTTGACCATTCCAGGAGTTGTGCCTCTCGCACGTCTCTGCATCATCTGCCTCACCTTCAGTTGTACGTCATGAGATCTCTCACCTGCTGCGTGGATAATCGTGTGTAGGGTGATACCTAGCTTAGCGTCTATGCTAGCGAATCTTGCTTCGCCTGATGTCTCGAGTAGAAATGGGTCATATGGTGATCTGAAGGCATCCGAGAGCCATTGGATCCAGTCTTCTTGTTTCTCGTCGCCCGATGCCGTCACGACTGCCGCTACAACCTGGGATTTCCAAACCTCCAGGTCGTGTATCTTGGGCCATGCAGGGATGTTGATCTTCTCGTGTTCCTTCCGAGATATCTTGGAGCCACCTGAGCTGGAGGATGAAGCGGCACCATGTTCGGTTGCGGCTGCATTCTCTGCACTCATGCGCTCCTCTTCGTACCTCTTCCGGTACTTATTCCTCTCATCTCTGAGCCGTGACGCATGCGCTTCGAATTCCATCATGTCCTGTTGGTTCTGCATCATACCTTCGTAGTACTCAATTGCCTCTTTCTCCTCGGACCTTAATGACTTTTCAGTACGTTCAAGTTCCGCTCTAAGCTTGGTCATCATCTCATTCTCCACACTGGGTTCTGATCCCATGTCTGGTGGTTTCAACTTCAGTGCGACCTTCAACTGTGCCTCACTTGCGCTTGATTCGATCAACTCTTCCTGAAGACGTTTCAGCATCCTCTCTTTACGCAGAATGTCCTCTTCCAACATGTTCACCTTGACTTCGGCCTTCTTGAGTTCGGCGTTGGATGGTTGAAAAGGTCGATCGGATCCTTGAATCCTCGTCTGAGTCAACTCCTCGTTCGCCTTCTTCAATTGCTCTCTGATGCTCAAGATGAACTTGTCCTGAGTATTAGATCGGTTGTTGAGCTCCTCATTCTCTTCTGATAACCATTTGATCTTGCTTGCATACATTGCTTCCCTCATCTTCATCTCTTCAGCATATTCGTGTTTGTTCCTGGCACTCTGCCTTTGTAATCCAACTAACTCCTGTCTACACAGATCCTTGACGTTCTCAGCATCTGCGATTGTAGTCATGACCTCGGTTACGGCTCGATCTCTTTCTGCTGATATAGCCTGGATCTCTTCCGCGCCGATGTTCACAACTTGACTAACCATCTCTGCGCTGTTGCGATCAGCGTACTCCCCTAACTGGGTGAGACGATCCCGCATTGCCACACGATCAGTGTCCATCTGGTATTGCAGGTCGTGTGCTGCTGAGAGCAAACAGTCTCTGGATTCTGTAAGTTGGGTGATTCTTCGTTGATTTCCACATCCTTCGACGTAACATTCTTCGAGGTGTGCCATCACTACTTCGTGGACTTCGGTCTCGTGTTGTATAATCTGGTTCTGTCTCTGCTCACATTCGACCATCCATGCGTTTTGGTGGTTCAACATATGCACTTCGGCAAGTAGTTGCGCACACTTCGCATTCAGGTCTCCATCGGTCCGTGCTAGTTGTAGGTTGTCAGTGCTTGCCCTTGCTCTATCCCCAGCTTCGCTGTCCGACGGCACTGGTACAGCTGACCCATCCTGCAATGCTAACACTCTCACAGCTCCGGTGTCAGTCCTCCTCCTTGTCTCCCTAGGGCTACGGCCTGATCTCGGTGTCCCCCACGGTGGTGTCGAGTGCGCTGACGGGGAACGACTTCGTGCTCTACCTGTCGCATCTTCTCTCACCACTGTCAGAGTCTCCGCTTCGATCGTACCTGGACTAGAGTTGTGGGATGCACTCATCCGATCTGCGGCCGCAGCAGCTGCCCCAAAAGATGCAGTGCTGGCGTCGGATTGGTCCATCTTCAGTGACTGAGGGTAACTGATCTATCCGATGCGTGTGCGTTTAGATGGTGTTGTGTAAGGCCGCAGCACGTACCCAGCCCAAAGGAGTCTGGATACGGCTGATAACCTGCGAACGGATGGAAAGGTGTGCCCTGGCCCCGTTCTAGCTCTTAGGTCAACATGAAGCTCGCGCGCTAAAGCTCCTTTTTACCTGGTTGGGCACTTGAGCCAAAAGTATATGGCATGTACCTGTATAGCGACTATACTGGGACCCCATCCCTATTGACAATGTTGATAGTGATGGTGGTTACCGGTGTCTTTCTTTGGCTGTGAATACCTTCCATCAATGTTCATCAAAAAACAACTTTGCTTTCTGACTTGTTTCAGGTCTGCGGCAAAGAGCAAGTACATCTCATGAGACGTTTGCGTGAAACTGTCCATGTCCGTCTTCATAAAGTAAGCTGTTTTCACCCAAAACTGCCTTCCTAAACTCAAGGAACACACAAAAACAACTTATACATACAACAAACATCATTAAAACACACCGGCCGTGACTTGATTCTTTTATTTCAAACAACTTCCTGCCACCTCTTTTCTTCCTGGCATGGCACCTCAGAGTTTTAGAATCCATGTGAGACCGAAGTTTCAATGGCCCGTGTCTGACGACTCTCCGACCACCTACCGCTGCCCGCTCGTCTCCGACTCCGAGAAACGCCCAGCCGAAGGCTTAAATGTGAGAGGTTCATGAACTTGGTCAAGCCTCTGTGAAATTAGTATCTCAACGGTAGCAGTGGAACCCCAATGGATCGCACTCTCTTTGTCACTCGGCCATTTTTGATTGGCATCACCATTCCACAGAAAGTCCAAGGTCCAAGCTGTAGGGCTTGGGCAAAAATAAACACTTGAATCCCCAGTTCCAAGACCACGAAAACCAAGAAACAATCAACATGTCATGCAAGAATAACCCTCCACAAAATTCCACGAATACTAAACTAAACTAATGGTTGAATTCCGAGCCTTTTCCAATAGTTTTGTGTCCAGGTACCAGCCCCATGGCCTTGGTATTCTCAGATCCCCCACGACCGGCATTGGGCATTCCAGTGTCTTTCGGTTCATGTTGCCAGCCCAGGTGCCAAGAGGAAGACAGCTCCCAGGAACCCAGTCAGACTTTCGGGAGATTGTCTTTTGGATTTCCTGCTCCTGGCAAAAAACGTTAGCCAATCAAAGAACACCTGGCGTCTGGGAGAGAGGGCCACATCACACAGTTATGGGCTCCAAACGTTGGACCCCATCTCTTTCACAAGTCGGCTGACATGCTCTGGCTCTACACCATGCATGGAGAGCCCCCCAAAATACACAAACAAAGGCGCCTACCATACACGGGCGTAATTAAAGAAATATGAGCATGTAACATGTGCACACAAACATGCCTCCACAATGCGCGTTGGCAAAGGCCAAACCCAGCACCAAACACATTCTTTCCCCTACATCACCTGTGCCATCGTGCATGTCTGCCCGCACTATGTGGGAGGGCAGGGTTTCTCAACACAGGCGGGGCCCACCTTTAGGAACACTTTTTTAGGTGTTCCCTCTGGCATTGAAACAATCTCAGCCCCACCCCGCTAGAAACAACAGCCGTCAAACAACCTGCCCACTGTGACATACATACCGTGCCACTACACTACACTACACTACACTACATTGGTGGCGGACTTTAACTTGTCATTCTCAGATTCTCAAACTTGCAGTTTTGTCTAGCACTTCTTGCTCCGGCTACAACAACTGAAACAGTTATGCTGAAGTCCTTGTCAACGTTCTTTGAGCCCAAATTTTTGGCGCATTCCTGTACAACTCCCGTCTAAACTCAAACACCCTCAAAACCTTTTTTGTCCACGCACAGTAGCTGATTGAGAGGCCCTCTCAAGACTTCGCAAATCACCTTGACCCCAGGCCTTGATTTTCTGAGCCGATCATTGCCACAGCCCAGTTTTGAAAAGGTACATTTGCACAACAATGTGTGTCGTCTACAAAACTGCCTGGATTGGCTGAAGGATGTTGCAAGCTCGACAGGCTGTGAAAGCGACAAATGTTGCTTTCCCTGTAAGCGGGGAGAGCACTATCTCACAAGGCAAAGCCAAAAGTGGAGAGAACCTCTTTACAAATGACCTGCTTCTATATTTCGTCATAACAATAATTCGTATATGATTATTAATGGTAGTTAATATTTTTTGTTTTAGTTTCAGGCACAGCACATCAAACATTGTCTGACCCTATTTCAACGAACTAGAATGATTTGGGGGGTCGATACCTAGGACCTTTCAAGTTCCACTGCTGGCTTCTACAACATCGAAATCCGAGGGTAGTCTGATCAACTAGGCAGGCTCAGCCTTTAGCCCTAACCCGATCAAACATTGTCTGGTTCTATCTCGACGAAACAGAATGATTTTGGGGGGTCGATGGCTGACACCTTTCAAATTTCACAGTCTTGCTGTTGACGTCGTATAGTTCACCCAGGTAAAACGGATTGCAAATATGAAAACACCCTCCCAAGGCACCCAGAATCCATTGAAGCACTGAGGCCAGCCACCAATTCGAAAGGCCAAGAGCCACAGAAGCGAGAAGCCAAAAGCCACCAAATCCAGAAGCCAGCAAGGTCAAGCCATCCAAAACCAAAAGCGAGCAAATGCCACAGTCAGGAATGCAAACAAGATGGAGCCCACGAACCCGAATGCAAACACGTTCGAAAAGCTACATATGTCCAAACGACACTCTTGTAGGACACTCTTGTGGGACACTCTTGTGGGACACTCTAGTAGGAAACTCTTGT